GCTCTTATATGTGTTTTTAAAAGACAGAACCTTGTATTTAATCTTTATCTTTTGTTTCTATGACCTGGAGAATGCTTTGAAGCTTTAAGAAGTACTTATATAAATCGATTAGCTAAATGGTTACAGTAAGATTACAATGCGTACTAGCGAAAAATTCAGAACATTTCAGTTAAATTTCTTGGATAAATTCATGTCATGTAGATACGCATTAAGAGTACAAGTTAGGTAGTGAACTACAATAAGTGTTGTACCATAAATTTCAGTACTATCAACTACATTAGTGGAATACATCCCCAATATTGAAAATATGTAAAATTTCAATTATTATTGTATTTTCACAGAGAGATAACGTAGCAAGTCCCACTAGTTTAAAGACTATTCCATTTATAAACAGACATCAGTTTTAAAACTGCCTTTACTTATTTACTTACGCCTGTTACCCCTCGTGCAGGAGCATAGGCCGCACACCAGCATTCTCCATCAAACCCTGTCTTGGGCAATCCTTTCCAGTTCTTTCCAGTTGTTGTTCATCCTTTTCATGTCTGCTTTTATTTCTCGGCGTAATGTGTTCTTTGGCCTTCCTCTTTTCCGCTATAGAGGTTTAGAAAGAAGTTAAATCATAAACAGCTTGAAAATTTCATGAATCAAAAGTAGGTTGTAGAATGATCTAAGGCTTAAAGAAGCATAGGAAAATCAAAATAAATCATGGATATATATGAAGACAAAATAAATAAAAAGTGTGTTGATCATAAAAGTCGAAAAATTTACCTTAAAATTCAATGAATCACTACATATCATTTAACTGAAATAAATGAACAGTAATCCATAATTATTTTAATGCATACTCATACTACTTATTTCCCTAAAAATATAAAATAAAATCGATATGTTGTGCCCTTTTATTACCGTTATTATTGTTCTTCATCTTCTTCTTTTTCACCCTTGACTCAAACAGCTGCTTATATTCATGAGACTAGTTTGTTTATATATAAATAAAATGATGGAATAAATAAATTGAGGATAATAAAAGTCGAAAATCTTTTATGACATACCATGCCCTATTGACCTTATTACGCGTGTCATATAAAAATATATTTTGATGGTTGTCTCAGTAAAGAAGAAATCACTGAAGAAGTTGTAAACTTTGAGTAAGTCTATTAAATTATATATAATCTGTATTAGTTCATTTTTGTTATGGACAGTGTGACTAATCTACTCAATCTCTTCATACATATACAATCAGTTGGCAAAATAAACAATTTGCAAAAGAAGCGCCAGTATTTTTAAATCAACTTATTAATTTAGTCTGTAATTCACAAGGAATGATAAGTATTTTACTTTAAAGCCAAGTCAAAATAACTTTAATATCCCTTTACAATTATAAAAGAAGCAATCTGTGAAAGACAGTACCAACTGACTACTTGACTAATTGACCTAGAACTCGTAAATTAACCGTGAAAAAAAAACAAATAAAATGGTAACGAGAATAAAAGAATTTTATAAGGAAGTATGTTTTTTCTTGACTTTCTCTATTTAGAAGTGGAAAAGGAAGGGGGAAGGAAGACAATCAATGTAAGGGGTGATCAAAGTTTACACATGTTTACATATAGTTACACATAGTTATATTTAGTTAAAGAGAAAAGGAAAATAATCTACCATTGCTTTCAGTCACTTATTAGACTCTCTTATTTTCAGCTTCACTTTTCATCCCCCTGCCCTTATTTTAACTAGTTTTGTTTTTCATTCTACTTCTTGTACTTTATTTATAGCCTTCACCAACACCCTTGGTTGTTCACTTACTGATATAATAAACTAGTCTAACTCTCTTTTATACTTTATGCGTTTTTTTATACAATTTTACCATTATTCCCGCTATTGTTACTACTACTATTACTATTAGTAGCAGTAGTAGTAATGGCATCACCAATTAATGACTTCATTTTATGTTCCCTGTTATATATAAATCTTTAAGAAAAACAAGTCTAGTTGCTATCGTATAACATAATATCTTGTAAATTACTTGTTGACTCATACAAACAATGAGATATCATTGATCTAAAACACGAAACAAGCATATTATTAAATCATAATCGACAATAGACCAATAAATTAATTATTAAATGATTATATGGATATGAATATTGATAAGGCGTGAAGATAGTTTACCATAAAAGATTTTAAGATTGATATAAGCGCTTTTACAATTACAATGTCAATGCAGTTTTATGAAACCAAAAAATAGAATGAGAGAAAAGAACTCTAAGATGCAGGTACATCTAGATGACGAGTCCCAAATAGGATGCAACGCGCATCCTGGATTCCACTGCTAGCCACTATCCATCTTTGCTTACAATGTTTGTGAAATAAGGCTATATCGTGGCAATACGAACAGTATGCACATATGCCAGTTAGAGACTGACCAGTTACAGTCCTAAATATCAATGGGAAGATTCAAACAAACAATACTAAGTGATAAGCAGAGATGGATAGTGGCTAGCAGTGGAATCCAGGACGCACGTTTCGTCCTATTTGGGACTCGTCAGCTGGATGTACCTGCATCCAAACAAACAATACTAAGTGAATTCAATACTAAGTGAATTTAAAAGAATTATTAGTTTAATTATTTCATAAATAAACTGAAATATAATACAAAACCCATTTCATTTGAATTCATGATACTTTATAAAAACACTTATTTAATACCATATCTGATCAGACCCATAGAACCAGTTTTTATGTCGTTGTGGATAGTTTTGAGTCCATTGGTCAATATTTTCAATTGTAATATACAATAAACGATTGTAATTGATATAGTTAATGTTAAAATTGTCATTAAACACCAAGCAGCCAAATATCATATGAATTAGGAATGGGTTATTTTGGTTGACTATAAACATAATCTAAAAAAAAATATTGAACGATTAGTTCCTCGTTTGTTTACTCATTATTGATAATGATTCAAAAATGGAGAACCTGTTTTAGTGATGGTTGAACCAAGAGAAGAGATATTAAGGAGACGAGTAATTATCAGAAAGGAGTTCTGTGGAAAATTCTAGTAATTTTATGTAGTTGAAATCATGAATCAATTGAATCTGGACCACCATGGAAAACCTGGAAGCACTGGGCGGCCGTTTCATCCTATTGTGGGACTTCTCAACAGTGCGCATCCACGATCCCACCTCGCTAGATAAATGTTATGAATAGAAATGAATCAAAATGCATACATTTATACTTTCATGTTTATTTGATATAATTTAGTAGTCAGTTATGTAATCAAGAACAGTTGATTATGCTTATCCTTTTAAAGTGGCTTGAATTAAAATTTAATATTGTTTCTTCAAAACATTAAAGGAACTATTGTGTACACTTAGTAATATAATCCAGTTTGTTGAGTCTCAATATCACAAACTGTTAGGAGATTAACAAAAAAACGAAGAGGCACACATAATCTATGATTTATAGTGACTCTAAATCATAGAATTATTTACAAATAATCTAATTCAATTTACTTAATTGCCATTATATTGTGAGAATATAATGTAAATATTTTCTAATTTGTATTATCTTACGTTTATAAAGCTTTAAAGAAGTAGAACGCCAGATGTCATCAGTTCCAGAAAGCAGCTAAACTGAGAAGTTAGTCACTACTACTACTACTACTACTACTTGAGTTACCTTTTTCGATACTGGTTTATTCAATCTGTTAAATATTTCCTGAACTATATTTTATAAGATAAAGTGGAGAATTTATATAATTTACCTTTTTTTCACCAGTATGGAGTTGTGGAGATTATTAAGTTTTTGATTGAGATCATGAATCGATCAAAATTAGGTCACTATTGGAAACCTGAAGGCACTGAACGGCCGTTTCGTCCCAGTGTGAGACTCCTCAGAAGTGCATATACACGATTCCATACGCGGGATTCGAACACAGGACCTTCAGTCACGCGCGTGAATGACTAACCTCTAGACTACTGAGCCTTGTATAACTTCAACCATGATATTGCGCTACCGTCCACCATTGTCTGAAGTAGATACCTGTCTCTAACTGATACAGATTAGCTCTATTGGTTACGGCTTCTCACCAGAACTCTGAGAATTACCTCACGAAGCTAGTCACTAGTAAGCACATGATATTATTACTTAAAGTTATTCACGTCCATATGAAAAATATAGATGATATTTTATCTACATACTTCAATTGTCTTATATGCTTCATTCATTTCTGTTTCTGTATTAGGTAGTTTGTTTTCTTTAAGTTATTACATAAAATTTCACTAAAAAAGTGAATCTAATATCAAGTAAGAAATAAGATTTATGTTTTTTTTCCCTAGTGAATGCATAATAAATATAGTTCATTTCATTAACTCAATGAATGACTTAATGGTACAATTAAAATTCCCCTAACAATAATCAACCTCAAAAAGAAAATAACTAGTAAAATAATTTACAAACAAATGTTCTTAGAATCTATTTATGGTACTTTTTTGAAAATTAACTATATATCATACTATACTACTGTTTTACATATATACTAGTTTATATGTAGACTAATCTGAAATAGTCAAGTTGAAAAAAAGAACAATATTTATTCCGTTGCTTCATGGAAAAAAAACTGGATATTGTAGCTTCTTTTCACATTTCTCAGTATAAGGTCATAAACAAGAAACATATACATTATCACCATTAGTAGGAAAAAGAATGATGATCAATATTAATAATTATAAAAATGGAAGAAAACACATGTTCACAAATGTAGCGGCAAAATTTCTTGTATTACTTTGATCTTCATGTATTAAATAACTATACCGCTTTCATTTTGATGACTTGTCGCCCTGATAGTTAATGTTACAGAATAATATATACGTTTATCTACAGATTTATATGTTTGCCATCCTGCCTATATATCTAGATAACTATGTGTTTGTGAATGATAATACTTCAACTGTAATACTATGAGTGCATAAGATATGTAGGGTTGTCACAATTCATTTTAACAGTAAACATAAAAAAAATGTGAGAGGAGTATATGAATTTTCATTGATATCTACTCCTCTCTCCTCCTTCTCTGTATCATCATCATCATCATCATCATCATCATCATCATCATCATCATCATCATCATCATCATCATCATCATCATCATCATCATCATCATCATCATCATCATCATCATCATCATCATCATCATCATCATCATCATCATCATCATCATCATCATCATCATCATCATCATCATCAAATGCATCATAAAACTAAATAAAATTTACTGAAATTTTTATTTCTGGCAGCGTGAATTAGTTGATTTTGTGTGTGACTTTTTCCGTAGTTTATTTTTGAGCAACACTTTTTTTGGTTGATTTCTTCCCCGTTTACGCTTATTGATTTCTGTTTTCTTCCAATAAGATTACAGGATTCATTTAGTTCATTTTCAGTATTTTCGTTTATGGACTTTTAAAATATGGTAACTACTAGCTAATTTAATGTTTATTCATTTTCTGGTAAAGTGCAAATGAGTAAACATCAGTTATTGAAAACTTTGAATCCCTGTATTTAAGAGGAAATATCACTTAATTCCTAAATGAATAGCCATTACAAAACAGAGCCAATAACTACGGACTCATAATATCCATTAGTACTTAAATGTAGAATAAAGATGTTATGTGTAGCTAACAATCTACTGAAGGCAACCGAAAACCTTACTATATTTTTTAAACAATCACTTTAGAGATATTTATCATGTCTATCTAAAACTATACTACAACAAAGTATAAATAATATCATATAACTTCAGTGTTCTGAAGAATGTTCACTAGTTCTGAAGCGAAGTTTACTGGAAAAGTTCCATTTTATTCTATCCAAATATAACACTATAGCTAATAAATTTACTAGTAACAAACTAAATAATGAGTGGTTCATTGGAGTAAAAACGATACAAACATACACAGTCACTAAAGTTGTTGATTCATAATACCATTGTTTTTTTACCTGAGGAAAAGTATATAGGAACAATATGAGAGTATAAAATCGCAAAAAATCATCCACGATCCAATAAAGAAATGCAGAGAAGTGGTTTTAGTGAGAAGTCATAACAAACGAATTTAATTCATGCTAGGTGTGTTATCGTCACCCACCAACAGCGTTGGAAGATAGTTGCACAATATTGCTAACTGGTTAAAGTTGGAAACATAAATCATTGGGTTTCAACTCAATGACCTGAAGTTTTAATGCTTAACATGAGCTTTAAAGGTTGTGGGCTTGCTGTCCAGTGATATCGTGGGTATGCTTTGCTGAGGAGTTTTATACGGGAACAAAACAGGTGTCGAATGCTTCTTTCTGTCCAGTGGATGTCTTGCTATATTCAATTGATGATATAAACTAGGAATCGTTGGGTATGCTACATGGCTTCGAGTTGTCACCGTTTTGTTAAAGTAAACGTTTTGTAATTTATTTAAAATCTTATGTTATCAACTTCTAGTTTCGATTGTCAGGTTTATCTTAATCTGTTGCTTACGTTATCTCGATTTATTGCCGATTTCTTTCAATACTGAATGTAAATACGTTCTATTTCATTACTGACCTGTCAGCTCACTTTTCCCTTTCTTTTCATTTTCAGGTTTCACCTTCAGGATGCAACATATCATCAGGCTACATATTAATTTCCACATTTTTCAGTGATTTCTTTGTCACATAGACATTAGTATTGATCTATTGTTCGAATGTTTTTGTATATGTTGGAATGAAGATTAGGGAAGAAATAAATAAGCAACACATTTTTCACAAAGGCTCACAATGATCATCATAATTAAAGGATATTTACTTCAAGTTTGACTACAAATTTTGATTTATTGAGTCTCAGTTGTCATCTTTATTGTGACAAATTAATAATTATAATAAGTTGTCTGTAAGAAGAAACGAATTACAAGTTATATTTTATTCGATTTTGTTAGTTTCATAGTTGTTTGCAATCATGTGATTCATAGGATTATTATACGATTGAATACATTGCACGTGCATGTATATACATAGAAATAGTCATATTGGCCATAAGAGATTCTGCTAATACCTGAATGTTGGTAAATAAGTGAGTAGGTCTACATAAGTCATGACTCTATGTAAGATAGTTTTTATCGTCTGTTTTGTGGGCAACATATGTGAAATATGAAATAAATAACTAAATAATAAGATTTATTCTGTTGAATGTAACATAATTTATGTCGAAAGGTGATTTTGTTTTGGGCTCCATTTATGATTGTAAACAATGAAAATATATTCCATAGATAAACAAATGAGTAACTTTTGTTATGATTAAAAGTTACTTCTGACAAAATCCCAATTTTTATTAGGTAATTACAATACTCAATAGATTTTAATACCAGTTTATTCAAAAGTTCGGTAAATGATGCTTCGACTTATTATAGTAAATATAAATGCAGCAGATCAAATACATTGCTTAACGATGAAGAAAGTGACTTTCTTGGATTTAATTTTATCGGATCTTAAAATGAGATTCATATCTGTGAACATTTCAAAAAGTTAAGCAAAGTTACTTTGACATTTCATCAGGCAATTGGATCCAGACTTCTTCAAGAAAATATAAATTATCTATGATATATTAGATGAAAAAACAAATCAGTACAAAAAATGTCTACTTACAATCAAATGTTCATTTCAATAGTTGGATTTATGGATAGATCTAAGCTGGACCACTATTAAAAACCTGGAAGCATTGGATGCGCACTGCTGAGGGGTCCCATACTAGGACGAAACAGCCATTCACTGTTTCAAAGTTTTAAGTAATGGTCTAGCTTAGATCGATTCATAAATTCAATTATTATAATTACTACAATCTCTATAAACCTCCAATCTAATAATAAATGTACGTTTTGTTTACAGATAGGGTTAGAAGTTGAAGTTATTTAATTTCAGTGTCTAAGTTTTTAATATTTTCCAAATACTAATGAACTATCTCAAATATTGTAAAACTATTTATTCAAGATTAAACATAAAGTCTAAAAGAACAACATTAGATCAGATTGAACTGTTAGAAGAATGTTTTTTTGAGAAGTACTAGTTGAAATAATTTGAATAGGCAGTAGACAATTTAAATTTCAAAATAACCAAAGTTTAAAACAGATTTTACCTTTAATCTGGTTCAGTATCATAATATTTAGTAGATAATAGTCATTTAGCACAAATTTATTCATTCTAATGAGATATGTCCTATGACATATTGAATATAAAATTTTGAATATACAACTTGGAAATTCAAAGTTTTAATCTGATCACTAATGTGAAGGACTCGATATCTCTTCCCTCATGTTGAGATGTCAGATGGAAAACCCTAGACCTAGGTTTCATACTAGTTGGTACTTGCCAACAAGGTGTACCTATGATATTTATGGAATTGATACTTTCTTCAGGATTCTAGCCTGCCTTCACGATCTGAGACGTAATGGTAAATACTATGTCATATACAGGATGGCTAGCAGCAATTGGAAGGATTTTAAATTTTAGCAACAATGTATTTAAAATATTCAAGCAACAGCTATTTTATTTAGGACTGAAATATACATTATTTAGCATCCTCTTAAAAAGCTTTATAAGCATTGACCACTTATGACATTTTTACATTATTTAATAATATTCACCAAATGGCTTTTATGTATTCCTTCATAGAAATATTCAATCAATTCATTTTTCTGTAGTAGTGGTCTATAACAATGATTTAATTTCCATAAACACTATTCTGTTTGATTGTATTTACTAATAAACAAGTGAATAAAATACATAATAATTCAGTTGAAGCCAATCTGTCATTTGAATTGATTTAGTAAAATAGCAGAAATAATATGGTGGTTGGAGTAGTCAAAAGGTCGATAGGATTCGATCTGCACTAAGAAGGACTTGACATATATGACAATGATAACCATCCAGTGATCAATCAATTGTAAAATACCAGAAATCTTAAAGCAAATGAATTTTATTTAGATACGAATTAAATCTTTGAAGTTTTCTCAATACTAGTCTGTAATTCGACTAATCTTAGATTAATAACTCGGTATTATTTACTTACTTACGCCTGTTACTCCCAAAGGAGCATAGGCTGGCGACCAGCATTCTCCAACCCACTCTGTCCTGAGCCTTTTTTCTAGTTATATCAAATTTTTTCTCATTCTTCTCACGTCTGTCTCAATTTATCGGCGTAATGTGTTTTTTGGTTTTCCACTTTTCCTTTGGCCTTCAGAACTCCATGTGAGGGCTTATTTGTAGCTCCTCCGAGGGCTACTGCCGGTCCCAAGCCCGAATTAAGGAGGAGGGTTGGGAATGGGGTTAGCGACCCCATTCCGTAGAAAATCAACTAGCTGAACAAACTCTAACCAGAAAAAATTTATTCAAACTCGGCATTACTATTCATTTATCTACAGAAATTTGTAGAGAAATGTGATTACCATGAATTCCATTCAGTTTGTTTATTTCTTAATATTTACATTATGAGATTTGACAGATTATTATGTATAAGAATAAATGTTAAGGTGAATTCAGAAAGAACAACTTTGCATCTACTGTTCGATCATAGAAAAAAAATCTTCAACTGTGAAATTCAATTTACAATTAATTACTAGTACATACTATTATAATATAATCAACATTGTTATAAAGAATTGTGCACAACAATTTAGTGATATTATGAACTGAGTAAATTACAATTACTTCACTAGAAGTTTTGTTTGAATTACTTATTTTTATATATACAATAAATTGAATGATGCTTTCTTTCATAAGTTAACATTATAAAGTAATAATGATCCCATTAGATCTCTGAGAGATGAGTAGTTTATTGAGTCTATATATATACTTATTACCAACGGTCAGTTATCATTTCTTATTTTATTGTTTCTGCACACTCATCAATACAAATACAGGATAGATAGACAGATATCCATTTTCATTTTACTAAAACTATATAAAGGGGGGTTTCTTATTTTGTTTATCATATTAAACATTATACATTTTTAAGACAATTGACAAGAGAGATAAATTTGTCATTTCATGGGTTCTTTTAACTTCTAAATGTATATCTATCTATCTATCTATGTATACAGATAGATTCACTTTTCATACATTCCATCCATAGATTTAATTCTATATATGTGTGTTCTTTTTATTGATGACAAGTCAATTAGACGAATATTTATGTTATTTAATTTTAAAATAATTTAGATTTTTAATGTTTATTTATTTACTGTTAT